AGGGCTCCAGCATGCCATTGGCACTCCGTTCCATAGGCTCTGCAGCAGACAAGGCAAGAAGCATCCATCAGCGTACGACTTTGTAAAGTTACACCATGGAGGGGGGGGAGCAGGAGGAGCATGTTGTGAAGGCTCGGCTCTGCATAGGCAAGAAGCAAGCATCAGCGCACAACTCCATGGAGTTACACCATGGATAGGGGGGAGTGGGAGAAGGAGGAGCATGTATTGAGTTGACTCAAAACACGGCTCTGCAGCAGACAAGACAAGAAGCAACCATCAGCGTACAACTCCATAGAATTACACCATGGAGCAGGGGGGGCAGGAGGAGCAGGGGGAGCAGGAGGAGCGGGGGGAGCAGGAGGAGCGGGGGGAGCAGGGAGAGGGCGGAAAGGAGAGGGAGAGAGGAACGGAAGATGGGGCACAAGGGAGAAGGCAGGCGAACGGGGAGATCGAGGTAAGGGGCAGAGGGCGGAAATGTGGGAAGGAAAGAGAGAAAGCAGGGGGAGGAGAGTGGATACTAAGAGAAAGGGGATTCACTTAGGAAGCGAGGGCTTACGGAAGGGATGGGAGGCAACTCGCTACTGGGACGTGCACTGGCTGTAGACGCCACTGTAGCCCTCGGCGCACTGGCATGCCACCCCACTACTGGCGAAGCTATTGGGGAGGCTACTGGGGCTTGCACTGGCTGAAGACGCCACGGTAGCCCTGCGCGCACTGGCATGCCATGTCTGCCGCGCCGTTCTTTGAGACGTCTCAGAATTGACTCACAGATTGGGAGGGGAGGCTACTGGGGCTTGCACTGGCCGTAGACGTCACGGTAGCCCTGGGCGCACTGGCAGCCCACCTCCTGGCTATCCTTTGTCTTGATGCACGTGGAGTTCTTCGGACACTTGGCCTTCCGACAGATGTTGTCTGCAGCACAGAGGGGCATGGGATGAGAGGCATGGGGGGAGCAGTATGGGGTGAGAGGCGTGAGGGAGAGGCCTTGGGGGAAAGAGCACATGAGTGGCAGCAGAAAGTGCATGTATGGCAGAAAGTGCATGTATGGCAGAAAGTGCATGTATGGCAGAAAGTGCATGTATGGCAGAAAGTGCATGTATGGCAGAAAGTGCATGTATGGCAGAAAGTGCATGTATGGCAGAAAGTGCATGTATGGCAGAAAGTGCATGTATGGCAGAAAGTGCATGTATGGCAGAAAGTGCATGTATGGCAGAAAGTGCATGTATGGCAGAAAGTGCATGTATGGCAGAAAGTGCATGTATGGCAGAAAGTGCATGTATGGCAGAAAGTGCATGTATGGCAGAAAGTGCATGTATGGCAGAAAGTGCATGTATGGCAGAAAGTGCATGTATGGCAGAAAGTGCATGTATGGCAGAAAGTGCATGTATGGCAGAAAGTGCATGTATGGCAGAAAGTGCATGTATGGCAGAAAGTGCATGTATGGCAGAAAGTGCATGTATGGCAGAAAGTGCATGTATGGCAGAAAGTGCATGTATGGCAGAAAGTGCATGTATGGCAGAAAGTGCATGTATGGCAGAAAGTGCATGTATGGCAGAAAGTGCATGTATGGCAGAAAGTGCATGTATGGCAGAAAGTGCATGTATGGCAGAAAGTGCATGTATGGCAGAAAGTGCATGTATGGCAGAAAGTGCATGTATGGCAGAAAGTGCATGTATGGCAGAAAGTGCATGTATGGCAGAAAGTGCATGTATGGCAGAAAGTGCATGTATGGCAGAAAGTGCATGTATGGCAGAAAGTGCATGTATGGCAGAAAGTGCATGTATGGCAGAAAGTGCATGTATGGCAGAAAGTGCATGTATGGCAGAAAGTGCATGTATGGCAGAAAGTGCATGTATGGCAGAAAGTGCATGTATGGCAGAAAGTGCATGTATGGCAGAAAGTGCATGTATGGCAGAAAGTGCATGTATGGCAGAAAGTGCATGTATGGCAGAAAGTGCATGTATGGCAGAAAGTGCATGTATGGCAGAAAGTGCATGTATGGCAGAAAGTGCATGTATGGCAGAAAGTGCATGTATGGCAGAAAGTGCATGTATGGCAGAAAGTGCATGTATGGCAGAAAGTGCATGTATGGCAGAAAGTGCATGTATGGCAGAAAGTGCATGTATGGCAGAAAGTGCATGTATGGCAGAAAGTGCATGTATGGCAGAAAGTGCATGTATGGCAGAAAGTGCATGTATGGCAGAAAGTGCATGTATGGCAGAAAGTGCATGTATGGCAGAAAGTGCATGTATGGCAGAAAGTGCATGTATGGCAGAAAGTGCATGTATGGCAGAAAGTGCATGTATGGCAGAAAGTGCATGTATGGCAGAAAGTGCATGTATGGCAGAAAGTGCATGTATGGCAGAAAGTGCATGTATGGCAGAAAGTGCATGTATGGCAGAAAGTGCATGTATGGCAGAAAGTGCATGTATGGCAGAAAGTGCATGTATGGCAGAAAGTGCATGTATGGCAGAAAGTGCATGTATGGCAGAAAGTGCATGTATGGCAGAAAGTGCATGTATGGCAGAAAGTGCATGTATGGCAGAAAGTGCATGTATGGCAGAAAGTGCATGTATGGCAGAAAGTGCATGTATGGCAGAAAGTGCATGTATGGCAGAAAGTGCATGTATGGCAGAAAGTGCATGTATGGCAGAAAGTGCATGTATGGCAGAAAGTGCATGTATGGCAGAAAGTGCATGTATGGCAGAAAGTGCATGTATGGCAGAAAGTGCATGTATGGCAGAAAGTGCATGTATGGCAGAAAGTGCATGTATGGCAGAAAGTGCATGTATGGCAGAAAGTGCATGTATGGCAGAAAGTGCATGTATGGCAGAAAGTGCATGTATGGCAGAAAGTGCATGTATGGCAGAAAGTGCATGTATGGCAGAAAGTGCATGTATGGCAGAAAGTGCATGTATGGCAGAAAGTGCATGTATGGCAGAAAGTGCATGTATGGCAGAAAGTGCATGTATGGCAGAAAGTGCATGTATGGCAGAAAGTGCATGTATGGCAGAAAGTGCATGTATGGCAGAAAGTGCATGTATGGCAGAAAGTGCATGTATGGCAGAAAGTGCATGTATGGCAGAAAGTGCATGTATGCAGAAAGTGCATGTATGGCAGAAAGTGCATGTATGGCAGAAAGTGCATGTATGGCAGAAAGTGCATGTATGGCAGAAAGTGCATGTATGGCAGAAAGTGCATGTATGGCAGAAAGTGCATGTATGGCAGAAAGTGCATGTATGGCAGAAAGTGCATGTATGGCAGAAAGTGCATGTATGGCAGAAAGTGCATGTATGGCAGAAAGTGCATGTATGGCAGAAAGTGCATGTATAGCAGAAAGTGCATGTATAGCAGAAAGTGCATGTATGGCAGAAAGTGCATGTATGGCAGAAAGTGCATGTATGGCAGAAAGTGCATGTATGGCAGAAAGTGCATGTATGGCAGAAAGTGCATGTATGGCAGAAAGTGCATGTATGGCAGAAAGTGCATGTATAGCAGAAAGTGCATGTATAGCAGAAAGTGCATGTATGGCAGAAAGTGCATGTATGGCAGAAAGTGCATGTATGGCAGAAAGTGCATGTATGGCAGAAAGTGCATGTATGGCAGAAAGTGCATGTATGGCAGAAAGTGCATGTATGGCAGAAAGTGCATGTATGGCAGAAAGTGCATGTATGGCAGAAAGTGCATGTATGGCAGAAAGTGCATGTATGGCAGAAAGTGCATGTATGGCAGAAAGTGCATGTATGGCAGAAAGTGCATGTATGGCAGAAAGTGCATGTATGGCAGAAAGTGCATGTATGGCAGAAAGTGCATGTATGGCAGAAAGTGCATGTATGGCAGAAAGTGCATGTATGGCAGAAAGTGCATGTATGGCAGAAAGTGCATGTATGGCAGAAAGTGCATGTATGGCAGAAAGTGCATGTATGGCAGAAAGTGCATGTATGGCAGAAAGTGCATGTATGGCAGAAAGTGCATGTATGGCAGAAAGTGCATGTATGGCAGAAAGTGCATGTATGGCAGAAAGTGCATGTATGGCAGAAAGTGCATGTATGGCAGAAAGTGCATGTATGGCAGAAAGTGCATGTATGGCAGAAAGTGCATGTATGGCAGAAAGTGCATGTATGGCAGAAAGTGCATGTATGGCAGAAAGTGCATGTATGGCAGAAAGTGCATGTATGGCAGAAAGTGCATGTATGGCAGAAAGTGCATGTATGGCAGAAAGTGCATGTATGGCAGAAAGTGCATGTATGGCAGAAAGTGCATGTATGGCAGAAAGTGCATGTATGGCAGAAAGTGCATGTATGGCTGAAAGTGCATGTATGGCAGAAAGTGCATGTATGGCTGAAAGTGCATGTATGGCAGAAAGTGCATGTATGGCAGAAAGTGCATGTATGGCAGAAAGTGCATGTATGGCTGAAAGTGCATGTATGGCAGAAAGTGCATGTATGGCTGAAAGTGCATGTATGGCTGAAAGTGCATGTATGGCTGAAAGTGCATGTATGGCTGAAAGTGCATGTATGGCTGAAAGTGCATGTATGGCTGAAAGTGCATGTATGGCTGAAAGTGCATGTAGGGCTGAAAGTGCATGTATGGCTGAAAGTGCATGTATGGCTGAAAGTGCATGTAGGGCTGAAAGTGCATGTAGGGCTGAAAGTGCATGTAGGGCTGAAAGTGCATGTATGGCTGAAAGTGCATGTAGGGCTGAAAGTGCATGTAGGGCTGAAAGTGCATGTATGGCTGAAAGTGCATGTAGGGCTGAAAGTGCATGTAGGGCTGAAAGTGCATGTAGGGCTGAAAGTGCATGTAGGGCTGAAAGTGCATGTAGGGCTGAAAGTGCATGTAGGGCTGAAAGTGCATGTAGACAGCAGCAGCAGCATGGTTGCAGCAGCAGCAGCATGGTTGCAGCAACAGCATGGTTGCAGCAGCAGCAGCAGCAGCATGGTTGCAGCAGAAGCAGCAGCATGGTTGCAGCAGCAGCATGGTTGCAGCAGGGCACGCACCGAGAACGCAGCGGATGGACTTCACTGATGCGCCCATCTTGAACGTGCTGCTCACATGTGCGCACAGGGGGAGGGGCGCATGGGGAACGGTTGGGAGGGAATTGAGGAATGGATGGGGGGAAAGCAAGGGTGCGTGGGGAAGTGGCATGCGAGCAAGACGTGCAGGCGGGCAGGAGAAACGAAGGAGATTCAATGCACGTCAGAATAAACAGATGAATCTCCCTGATTGCTTTTGAGGCGCCACAAAAGTCTTCAATGCACGCCAGTCAGAATAAACAGATGAATCGCCGGACTGCTCACCCCCGGAATGCTCACCTCGTGTACCCCGCAAGCACTCACCTCATGTACCCCGCAAGCACTCACCTCATGTACCCCGCAAGCACTAACCTCATGTACGCTGTGTTTTGGTACTTTGCCGCGGGTGCCCCCGAGCAGTCGGGCGACGCGAACAGCTGCACCGCGTTGCACGTAGTGCGCTCCGAAAACACGTCCCACCACACCAGCACATCCGCCATACCACCGCCTCTCGCTCCCGCGATTTCAGGCGCGGGCACGCAACGGTCCTGGTCAAAGTAGATAGGGTTGGGCTGGGCGAGCGAGCCGGCGAGCACCACCGTGCCCACTCGCAGCTCTGCGCGTACCACGTCGTTGGCAGCCGCGTTTGCTCCCATCGCTGTGAGGATCAGACGGGGTAGGGCGAAGGCAAAAGGGAAGGTAAAAAGGCGGAACGAACGAGCCGGCGAGCACCACCGTGCCCACTCGCAGCTCCGCGCGTACCACGTCGCTGCCGCCCGCCGCATTTGCTCCCATCGCTGCAATGGTGTCAGACGGGAGAAGTCAGAAAGGGAGGGGAATAGATCGGGAAGGGCAAAACCCAGCCATGGATGGCTCGCGAAAGTGTACGGAAGGAGCGTGATGCTGGGGACTGAAATGCGCATTCTGTGAACACCATATGAGCACCATGGGGAGGAGGCGTGAACGATTCCCGCGGGCTAACACGAGAAAGGTTGAAAGGGAGGGTGGAAGGCTGCGGCGTACCGAGGAGGATGGCGACGACGGTCAACGCGGCTGCGGCTTTGGAATGACCCATCTGAGTCATGCTGACGTGGACTGGTCGCAGCGCTGGTGCTCGGGGCGAAGAGGATGATAGTTCGGTAGCGAGGGGTGAGTAGGTGCACTGTGCACTTAGCACAAAGCGACGTAGCGAAGATTCCGCCGTGGGCGAGGATGGGACTGGAGTCTCGGATTCAGCAGCGACAGAGTGAAGCAGCGACGGAGTGAGTATGAGTCACGTTCGATGTTCGATGATGGAAGACCCTACTACCACTACGTTAATACTGACTTCAGAGAGAACGGAAACGATACTGCAGGAGGACTGGTGGCTGCGATGGCGCTTCCGCGACCTCCGAGTAGCGTTAGCGATACTACAGCCTGGGCCCCCCGGAGCGGCTGCTCGGCAATAATTGCTGCGCGCCCTCGCGGCGCGGGCCATAATTTCTGCAACGCATCGCATCGACACCTAAACTGCAAGCCGCGTTGTTCCCATAATCGTGTCGACCACATCGCGCTGCGTAATTTGCCGGCACTCAGGGCGAAGGTCCACCGTGACGGACTGGCGAGGCGAGAGCAGCCGTGTTGGTCTGTCTGAGGTTGTGAATGTCCCGTGGCGTGTAAGGGGTAGTGGATATGGCTGCAATAATTATACAGAGAGGAGATCAAGTGCTAGCATACGCTCTGTCGTCTGACTCGTTTCTACCACTGCCGCTTATAGCGACATCAACAAAACAGACCAGAATGGCACAAACAACAGTATGTCAAGATTTGAGCAATTTAAAATTACGAGAGCTGTCCAAACCTGGGGTGCTAGCACTGTAGAACACCCTACATTCCGTTGATGGATTTCGCTTTTACATCGGGTAAGTAGCTTTGGCAGGGGTACTACTAGCGACCCTGCACTTTCAAGGGGACTACAGTGCTATATGCGGGCACTTTCCGCCACTCCGCCACTCCGACAGGAACATTATGGCAACAGCACAGAACTCAGTCCCACATTCACCCACGTGTCAGAATTTCGCAAGCCACTGGAAAAAATATCCCTTTACCTGACCAAAAAAAACTAAAACCCAATCGGGAAGGGATGCGTCTCGGGGAGGCATCAACCCTAAAAAAAATGTGGGTTCCCGTGTTTAGGGTTGATCCCTCCCGAAAATGAGTCCAGGTTCCCTATGGGTTTTATTTTTTTCTGCGTGCGTTTTCTAACTTACCGAATTTGTGACACGTGGGTGAATGTGGGACCGAGTTCTGTGTTGTTGCCATAACTTTCCTGTCGGAGTGGCGGAGGGGCGGAAAGTGCCCGCAACTAGCACTGTAGTTCCCTAGAAAGCGCAGGATCGCTAGTAGTACCCCCGCAAAAGCTACTTACCCTTGTACATCTTCCAGCAATTTCAGTGTACGGTACTCCCAACACTGTAGCTCAGAATTTTTTACTTCATCCATACACCAACAAAAGAGCTAACCATCAATAGACACATGCGGGCACTGCGCAAGCAAACATAGCTTTGCACTGGGCACCTCCTTAGCGAGAATGATTTTCGATACACCTCAGAATCAACATACATCAAGTAACCAGACAGGCAGGCAGGCAGGGGCTGCTCTAAGCCATGCGCTGCGCCACCTCCTTGGCGAGGATGCGCTCCTTGGCCTTCATCTTCGCCTGCGACTTGACGCCCATGATGCCGCCGCCCCATTGGCGCCTCAAGTCGTCCGCCTTGTCGTTGAAGTGCGCCTGGGGGGGGGGGAACAAAGGAGGGTGAATGACAAGAGGAGAGGGAGGGGAATGAATGACACATTGGCCAAGAATTCATTAATAGACCTCACCCCTTGTCTGTTGACTCTTATTGACTCACCTCAGACCCTGCCTGTTCACCCATGTTGAATCACCTGTTGACTCGCTACAAGCCCTTGTCTGTTGACTCTCTTTAACCGACTCCTCAATCGTGCTCAGCCTGCTCTCATCGTCCCTCAACTCCCACCGTCTCACCTCTGTTGACCCGCATTGACTCACCTTGACCGGCTCCATGATCTTGCTCAGCCTGCTCTCATTGACCTTGACCCTGAACTCCCACCGACTCAATCACCCCCATTGACCTCTGTTGACCCGCGTTGACTCACCTTGACCGACTCCACGATCTTGCTGAGCCTGCTCTCATTGACCTTGACCCTGAACTCCCACCGACTCAATCACCCCCATTGACCTCTGTTGACCCGCGTTGACTCACCTTGACCGACTCCACGATCTTGCTGAGCTCGCCCTTGTCCTCGTTCTTCACTGCTGTCAGCGCCAGGGCAGTGGCCGTCTTCTGGTGCACCACCTGCGGTATATGAAAAGGCGGCCAAGGCAGCGGTGAAGGGAACACAGGAGCACCAACAGGATAGAGGGAAACAAGTCAGCAAAGCAGGTACAGAGGCTGCTTCCGATGCAGCTGCCAGTGCCAGTGCCAGGGAAGTGGCCGTCTTCTGGTGCACCACCTGTGCTGCACCACCTGCGCCATGAGCAGTCAAGGAAGGACCATGCAATCCACTTGCAACGAGGATTAACGTCAAGAAGCCGGTTCAGGTATACCACTTGCCAGCCAGCGCCCATCTTGTGGCAGAAATGAGAATGACGGGCGCAGCACCTCCCCTTCCTTACCTGACCGAGTCGGGACTTGCTCTTAACGATGCAGTAGGGCACGCCCATCTTGCGGCAGAGCACTGCATTGACTCTTGACCGCTCTTAACCGCTCTGAATCTCACCTGACCGAGTCGGGACTTGCTCTTGACGATGCAGTAGGGCACGCCCATCTTGCGGCAGAGCGCAGGCAGCCAGATGACGAGCTCGGCTTCACTGCTCCTTACACCCCACCAAACCATGCTCAACCGCTCTGAATCTCACCTGACCGAGTCGGGACTTGCTCTTGACAATGCAGTAGGGCACGCCCATCTTGCGGCAGAGCGCAGGCAGCCAGATGACGAGCTCGATGGGGTCCACGTCGTGCGCGATCACCACCAGCTGCGCCTTGCCCTGTATAGAAGGGGGGGGGGAAGAGGGGAGGGGGGAGGGGGGGGGGGGAGGGGGAGGGCGAGGGAGGGCGGGAGAAGGGAGGACGGGGGAAAAGGAAGATTGAGGCACCTCACCTCACCTGATGCGATGCCGTACAGAACCACCACAACGGCCCTCTTCCCCTCACCGTCTTGCCCTCCTCTCCCATCTTAATCACCACCCTCGTCTCCTGCCCCGCCATCACCCTATCCCTTCTCCCCTTTCCGTGGCCCTCCCCTGGTCCTCCCCTGTTCCCGCACCAGTTCGATGAGGTACGTCATGTGGATGAGATGATGTCATACTTCACCACAACCCGCTTCCTCCACTCCACCGTAAACCCGAAATCCCCTCCTTCCAAATCACCCCCCCTCCCCCCCCCCGCACCTGCTCAATGAGGTACGTGATGTGGTTGATGCCGTACTTCACCACAACGGGCTTCTTCCACTCAATCGTCTTGCCCTCCTTCCCAACGTGGACCCTGCATGTCACCTTATCTCCCTCTCGTGGCCCCTACACCCCCTCCCCCCTCGCACCTGCTCAATGAGGTACGTGATGTGGTTGATGCCATACTTCACCACAACCGGCTTCTTCCCCCTCACCGTAAACCCAAAATCCCCTCCTTCCAACCCCCCTGTACCTTTATTCGCCCCTCTCAATCCCCGCGCACCTGCTCAATGAGGTACGTGATGTGGTTGATGCCATACTTCACGACCACCGGCTTCTTCGACTCAATCGTCTTGCCCTCCTTCGCCGCCTCGGCCGCCTTCAGCAGTCGCTCCTTCTTCGCCGCGCGGTCCTCGGGCCGGTACTTGAGCAGCAGCTTGAACAGCGAGGTGGCTGAGGATGGGGGAGGGAGAGAGGGGGCGAGATGGGGGCGGAGGGGTGACTGTGAAAAGCAGCAAAACGGATGGGGCTGTAACCTCGGCCGCCTTCAGCAGTCGCTCCTTCTTCGCCGCGCGGTCCTCGGGCCGATACTTGAGCAGCAGCTTGAACAGCGAGGTGGCTGGGAGCAAGGGGAGCGAGGATTGCCAGGGGAAAGGGGGGCAGGTGGGCAGGGGGGCAGGGGGAGAAGGGGGGTAAGTTCAGCCGCCTCCAGCAGTCGCTCCTTCTTCGCTGCGCGGTCCTCGGGGCGATACTTGAGCAGCAGCTTGAACAGCGAGGTGGCTGAGGATGGGGGCGGAGAGGGGCAGGGGTGCGCGGGATGGGGGAGAGGGGAGAAGCGCCAGGAGTGGGACCGGGGGTGTAAGCCTCGGCCGCCTTCAGCAGTCGCTCCTTCTTGGCCGCGCGGTCCTCGGGCCGATACTTGAGCAGCAGCTTGAACAGAGAAGTGGCTGGAGGGAGGGGGTAGGTTGCGCGGGGGGAGGGGGGGGAGGGAGTTGGGTGAGGGAGTTGGGGGAGGGGAAATAGGGCAAGGGGGGGTGAGTTCGGCCGCCTTCAGCAGTCGCTCCTTCTTCGCCGCGCGGTCCTCGGGCCGGTACTTCAGCAGCAGCTTGAACAGCGAGGTGGCTGTTTGTGTGTGTTGAAAACGAGTAAGGGGGACGGACGGATGGAGGGGGGGCGCGGGGGGGAAAGGGAGACCAAGCAGGGGAAAGGGGATAAGCCAGCCGCCTTCAGCAGCCGCTCCCTCTTCGCCGCGCGGTCCTCAGGGCGGTACTTCAGCAGCAGCTTGAACATCGAAGTGGCTGTTAGTGTATATGTGGTGGTGTGGGGGGGAGGGGAGGGGTGTATGTGGTGGTGGGGGGGGAGGGTGAGGGGGAAGGAGAAGGGGGAAACGGGGGTAACGACAGTGAAGGGGCTAGAACTGAAGGGAACGAATGACAGTTGGGGAAAAGCGTAGCGAGGGGGATTGGAAAGGAGGGCGAAGGAGTAAGCGGAGGAGAATCAAGGCTGAATGGGGAGGAGTGAGGGGAAACGAAAAGAAAACAGACGCGTGCCGAGGTTCTTGACGAGCGTCTACGCTATAACGAGGCAGCGCGTACCGAGGCTCTTGACGAGCATCTACGCTATAACGAGGCAGCGCGTACCGAGGCTCTTGACGAGCGTCTACGCTATAACGAGGCAGCGCGTACCGAGGCTCTTGACGAGCGTCTACGCAATAACGAGGCAGCGCGTACCGAGGCTCTTGACGAGCGTCTACGCAATAACGAGGCAGCGCGTACCGAGGCTCTTGTCGAGCGTCTTGGTGAACTGGTTGATGGCGGGCGGCACCTTGAGGCGCTGGTTGAGCACCCGGCGCTGCCGCTGCAAAAACTTCTTATAACGCGTCTACTACACTATAACACGTATTCACTATAACGGAGCAGCGCGTACCGAGGCTCTTGTCGAGCGTCTTGGTGAACTGGTTGATGGCGGGCGGCACCTTGAGCCGCTGGTTGAGCACCCGGCGCTGCCGCTGCAGGCGCACGTACTTGGGCCACTTGACGAACCGGTGCAGGTTCTTCTTCGGGGGGAGGGACCCGCCGATTCCGAACGTCTTCGGGCGCCTCTCGAACAGAGGGTTGGTGACCTTGTCGGACTGGGGGAGGGGGAGAAACGGGGGAGGGGCGGGGGGGGGAGGGGGAGGGGAGGGGGGAGAGGGGACGAAAGGTGGAAGGGGGGAATGGCGGGAAAGAAACAGGACGCGGGGAGGATGGCAAAGAAACAGAAGCTGAACGTCCCCACTCACCCCCTAGTCTTGTCCTTCCGAGAAAAAACTCCAGCCACTGAAAAAAAAAATTTACGAGGAGCAGCGGCTTACCTTCTTGCCCCTGGAGGGAGCGGCCGCAGCGGGCTTCTTGACGGCCTCCACTTGCCCTCTCGGGGTCTTACCCTTTGGCGCCTGTCATCATGCCACCAGCCACCATGCCACCATGCCATCACGCCAACACGCCGCCACCATGCCATCACACCATACCACCACGCCACCACACCACCATTCCCTCATGTCACCATGCCACATGCCACCATGCCATCACACCAGCACACGAGATCACGGAGAATCGTTAGTGTTAAGTCAAAGACAGGGCAACTCCAGTGCAATGACACAAAAGAATTCGATTTCGTAGCTGGTTAAAAGCGGAAATCAAAACGGAGAATTGTGCACGTGATAGCTAAACCATTCTTTAGAATTCTCGAAAGCGGAGATACGAACGTAAAAAGGTAACCGCGAACGCAGAATTAATGCGTGCGTTGACCTAATCACGCTATGGCAATAAAACGAGTTACATAACCGTGCTAAACGGACAGCACGACATTAAGTCAAAGGCATTCTAGTTAAAACGCCAAATTCCTAGTTGCTGGAAGTTACTTGGATTCCGCTACTTCATCAGCGCTAAAGGGAAGAAATTGAATCGCCGAAGACACTGTTAATACGGCGAAATCCACAATCGCCGCATAAGTCGCATCGCATTGCTGGCGCGTCACATGAATAGACGGCACTCGAGTAACCCTATTCCGTCATGCTTCGACAGTGTTTCCAAACTTACGGACAATCCCGCTGTGGCGCGCCTCCAGTCAGTCGATCTATCCTAGACCTAACGACCTTAAACCTAACGAGGAAACTAGACGGTGCCCGTAAACCTAATCCGCTTCGTCGGCAAGTGAGGGGAGGGAAGGTTGGGCGTTACGGGCGTAGCTCTGTTATACATTTATCGGAAAAAAAAAACGTAAGTTGTGCGCGACCGTGCCATCTGTGATTTCGAGACCGATCTGGCACGTCAACAGTACCAAGAGCAGCTCCGTGTTCCCATTAACGCGCTTCAACCGCCAAGGTGTATCGTCACGGCTCCCGCTGACTCTACAATAAAGGCCAGCACACCAGGCAATCCGCGCCAAGAGCGACGAATGCGCTGACCGACGCGCTTCCACGCTTCCAAGGAATGTTGGTGCCATGCGCCGGCCAAGGGGACCGCATGTCACGAACATGCCTGAGTTCTGAGGCGCCTCAAAAGTCAAACATGCCCGAGGCCATTTTCCGAACTCTACGCGAAACCCCACGCCGGTCTAAGCCTCTGCTCCGCTCACAAATCTAAGAAAGGCGTTTAGGAAGTACTAAGTAGGATCGCGACATCTACGTGGGAAACCCTAAAGTTCTGCTGCCAGCACGCCGCCAACCACGCGTCGTCGATATCAGCTGCAGCAACCTGCCGAACCGCATCCGCCCGTCCAACGCTTGCTGCTCTAAACCTGGAGAAAACCCGCAACCTCGTATAGAAAGACTGAAGCCGACCTGTCGTGACATCCAATTTTTTTATCGGCTCAGAAATCACCTAGGTTGAATCTAGAACGACCCGCAACCTCGTAAAGAAGCAGACCTGTCGTGACGCCTAAGAGACTAGAGTAAGCTGCCCCGCGATTCCCGGCACGTACCATTCTGTCGTGTGGGTGATTCGTGTCGGCCTCTCGTAACTAGACTACAGAGGGAAGTGAAAAGGGGATTTGAGACGAAGGGAAGAGGCCTTGTAGGGCAGAGCCTTCAGAAAGGAAAGGCGGGGAAGAGAGGAAGAAAGGAGGCAGAGGGACTGAGGTGTTCAGAAAATAGCCCTAGGGGAGGGAACAGAGAAGGGGAGCGAAGAGAAGACGAGGTGAGACGAGGGAAGACAAAAGGATTGGGATCGGTTGAGATGGTTTGTGCAACTCACCCAAAAAGTTGTGATGGGCGATCGGCGCGCGGGGACTTTGGAAAAAATGTATGAAGCGCGGAGGAGGGTGCGTGTAGTGTGTGCGAGAAATATGCACAGAGGGCGAAGGAAAGGGGTTTTGAGAGGAGGGTTTCGGGCGCAGGTAAAAAGGCCACTGAGGGGGACTCCGGAAGGTGGAAACATCGAGATTGACTTTATGGCTGTTGTATTATCACCGGTACACATGAAGGCATTAGTCTTCCGCGTATCGTTAACAAAACACTCAAGCAAAAGAAGAACGACGTCTATCCATATTTTCGAATCAACATCCAGCTGGTTGCTAGCTAACCTTCACACCATTTTCACTCAATACTAACATAATGAGATGCCTTCATACATGTTACAAGCGTCTTTCCATTCAACTGAATAGCGAGAATACTACTTCAGATTTCAAATCGAAAAGCAATGCAGGCTAGCAAGAGTGAATTGAGAAGGGTGAGCAAAGAATTATCTTGTTCGTATATATACCGCATAATGAGCGACCTTACATATGGCACCCTTTTATTGACAACTCAAATAATGATTAATCACAACTCCATGGCATTGTGCATTGTGCACCCACTAGCTCCTAAAAGCATGCTCTTCTAGGCAGCGTTGCTGGGCACCCAGAGAGTGACTGGACCAGCCTCTCTGGTTTCCCCATATGGCAATGACAGCCTCCCACCCAGCACACAACTGCCTCTCCAGGTGACAATTGGTCACAAACAGAATTTTGAAAGCGAGGACTTATAGGCGGGAGGGGGGGTATTCGAGAGGCTATTCGAGTCTGCATCGGCCAAAGACGTCACGATAGCCCTGCGCGCACTGGCACGCCACCCCCCTATAGTCGTTCGTCTTGATACACGTGGAGTGTTCAGGGCACTTGGCACTCTGACAGATGTTCTCTGGATGACGTCAAGGATAAGGGAGAGGGATGGGAGGATATGGATGGGAGGAGGCATGGGTTGAGAGGCATGGGGTGAGAGGCATGGATTTAGCATGCATGCCAGCATGGATTGATTTAGCATGGGGAAAGACATGGGTTGATATAGCATGCAGCAACAGGCGCAGGCATGCCAGCAGAAGGGCACAGATGGCAGCAGTTACTGCTGCTCAGAATGGAGCGGCAGGGATGGTCGATAGATGCAGTAAAAGGGCCAATTCATGGCAACCGCAGGACACGCGGGAAAACATGGCAATAGCAGCAGAAGAACGGCAGCAGCAGAAGCAAGGTAGGCCATGAATGGCGATCGATGCAGCAGAAAGGCCAATGCAGGGCATGCAGAAAACAGATGGCAATAGCAGCAGACGCATGGTAGCAGCAAGAGCATGGCAGCAGCAGGGCACGCACTGATAACGCAGCGGATGGACTTCACTGATGCGCCCATCTTGATGGTACTGCTGACACGCACGCAGGGGGAGGGGGGCATGAGAGGAAGGTTCAAGGCGTGGGGAGGGGAGCATGTGGTGGGGGTCTGATGGGTTTGCTCACACGTGCACAGAGTGTGCATGGGGGGAGGGTTCAGGGCGTGGGAGGGGCACGGCACAAATGGGGACTTGCGCAAGAGGAGTCTTGCGCAAGCGGGGACTTGGCCCAAACCTCCCAACTCATGCACCCCGTGAATCGGTACTTCGCTGCCGCAGCACCCATGTCAGTCAGTCGGCTTTTGAAGCAGATCTCACATGCCCCAAACTGCTCACCAAGTGTACCCTTTGAATGGGTATTACGCCGACGCTGTCCCTGAGCAGTCAGACGACACAAATAGGTGCAGAGGAGCTTTGTTGCACGCCAAGGCAAGCAGATGAATGTATGTACGCTCACACCCGATATCTCAGCTCATGTATGTACCCCGTGACTGCTCACATGCCCCAAACTGCTCACACCTCATGTACCCCGCGAATGGGTATCTTGCAACTGCAGTACCCCACAAACGGGCATTTCGGCGCGAAATGGTTATTTCTCACCTCATGTAACCCGTGAATGGGTATTTCGCGGCCGGTGCCCCTGAGCAGTCAGGCGACGCGAACAGCTGCACCGCGTTGCACACAGTGCGATCCGAAAAAACGTCCCACCACACCAGCGAATCCACCGCGCCGCCGCTCGTTTCGGGCACGGGCTCGCAGCGCCCCAGGTCGAAGGAGACGGAGCGCGGCTGCGCGAGCGAGCCGACGAGCATCACCGTCCCCACGCGCAGCTCCGCGTTCACCGTGTCGCGCGCCGCGCTCCCCGCGCGCGCTGCGCTCGCCGCGCTCGCCGCGCCCGCCGCGCTCGCCGCGCCCGCCGCGCCCCTAATACCAGTGGCAATCGTCGGCTTGCTCGCACCCGTGGTATCAGTGAAGTCGCTGCCGCCGCCAGCAGTCGCGCCGTTGGCAGCAGGTGCTCCCAGCGACACTCCCACCTCACTCGCTGCGCGGAGGTCACACAGCATGTTGGCGGCAGGGAGATTGGCAAGACAGCGAGAGAGTGACAGGAAGAAGAGCGAGAATCAGGCACGATAGAGTTGCGAGTGACATGATCATGATGATATCACCTCGTCGCGAGCATGAGCTTTTCACAAGCATCGTGAGAGACGCGACGCGTACCTATGAGGATGATGGCGACGAGTAGCGCCGCTGCGAGTTGACTTTTGAGTCAACTCAAAAGTCAACTCGGGCGGTCAACTCGGGAGGTCAACTCGGGAGGTCAACTCGGGAGGCGACGAGAGAGGGAGGTGTACCAATGAGGATGACGAAGACGAGTAGCGCGGCTGTGGCTTTGGAATAATCTCCCGTCCTCATCGCGGGTGCTCCTGGTTAGCGAGGTAGCGGCGAGGGGAGCGGCGAGGGTAGCAGCGAGTGTAGTAGCGGAGAGGCGTGGTAACACAAGCGTCGTATCACTGATACATATTTTGTGGCACAAAATCAGCGATTTCGCAGCGGGGCGCTGGAGTGGTTGATACAGCACGGCAGGGCTGCTGAAAAAAGTGGCCGGCACGTGTTGTCGAAGCTTGACGTGATTGTCGGATCTACTCAGCTCGGGAGCAGACTAGCCTCACAAGGGAGGTAATGACGATGTGAGTGCGTATTCTCGACGCACATATTCCAAACAGCCCGTATGTAATACTCCCAGGGAGACTGGTACAAGCGGCTGCGGTGGCGCTGCGGCAGCTCTCGCTGCGCGGGCAATAATTGTTATGGGCCCATGATTATGCTGCCGCTCAGCGAGAAATGTTATCGCACATGATTATGGGCCCGTAACTACGCCGCACGCCCATATAAGCACGAGCTCTCGAGAGAGTTGCCGCCGCTTGGCCACGAGGGTTTCGAACCCGCGTCCATGATTTTCGCAACGCCCGAAAGCGAACCTGCAAACACGGCTCCCATAATTGTCGCCACTCCGCTCTGCGCTCCAAAAGGGCTGCCTGCATTCTGCGTTCCAGGTGCCCCATAGCTGTGTTGGCCTGGCGTCGTGTGTGCCGTATAGGGCGCGCTTACGGCGCGTTCGACATGGCTATGTGGATGACCAATAATGCTGGTGCCTCCCCGTCTGCCTGCACTTGTCTAGCTCAGCTACTTTTAGAGAAACTCACGAAGTGGACAGAATAGCACGAACTCTATTTCTATACAAGTATTTTCCATTATTGATATTGTATGATGTTGGGTAAAATCATAAACCGGGACAGGAAATCCGGGTATACGAAACGAAAACTCATTATTTTGAAGCTTATTGGTAAACATTTTATGATGCACCAATGCTGATATCCCACCCTTGTCACTCTTGCTACAAAATTGCTTCCAATCCAATAACGCTGACTCCCATCACAGAGGTGCTACTCCAGGCAGTCTCCCATTCCTCTCCAGGGGCTCTCTAGGGCATCTGCAGAGAATATTTGCTCCCTCTTTTTATTACATTAAATATTTCAATCAGGTTCTCAGCTCCAGGGGTTCTCTAGGGCATCTGCAGAGGCTCTTTTCTCCAGGGGCTGGTGTCTGCAGGGGCTCCCAGCACAGCAGTGGCTCAGGAAAGGGCTGCAGCAGACAACAAGATAGATAAGAGGCATGCAGATGGATAGAGGCAGAAGATAGACAGGAGGGAGAGGGGAGACATGAGAGGGTCGAGAGGAGGGGGAGAGGAAAGAGAGGCTTTGCAAGGGTTCCCAACATAGCAGTGGCAGTGGAGGGGCTCCGCAGTAGACAAGGCGAGAACCAATGACTAGGACACAGGGAACATGGCGGGAAGGAATGGGAGAGGGGAGAGAGGCTTTGCAAGGGATCTTAGCATAGCAGTGGCAGTGGAGAGGCTCTGCAGTAGACAAGGCGAGAACCAATGACTAGGACACAGGGAACATGGCGGGAAGGAATGGGAGAGGGGAGAGAGGCTTTGCAAGGGATCTTAGCATAGCAGTGGCAGTGGAGAGGCTCTGCAGTAGACAAGGCGAGAACCAATGACTAGGACACAGGGAACATGGCGGGAAGGAATGGGAGAGGGGAGAGAGGCTTTGCAAGGGATCTTAGCATAGCAGTGGCAGTGGAGAGGCTCTGCAGTAGACAAGGCGAGAACCAATGACTAGGACACAGGGAACATGGCGGGAAGGAATGGGAGAGCGTGAGGGAGGACAGGACAGGAGGGAGGAAGGGATGTGGAGAGGCGTATGGAGGACGGAGTGGGAGAGGAAGGCAATCAGGGATGAGAGGGGAAGAGAGGGTGGGAGGGTGAGGAGAGAGGGTGAGGGAGGTACAGAGTGGAGAAGAGGGATGGCTATTGGGATGGGAGGCATTGGCTGAAGCCAATTCGGAGGCAGGAGGGACAGCTATTGGGATGGGAGGAATTGGCTGAAGCCAATTCGGAGGCAGGAGGGACGGCTATTGGGAGGCTTACAGGTGGGAGGGGAGGCTACTCGGGCTGACAACTGCTGTAGGCGGCACGGTAGCCCTGGGCGCGCTGGCAGGCCACCTCCTTGGTGTCGTTCTTTGAGATGAGACGTCTCATGATTGACTTACAGGTGGGAGGGGGGGCTACTCGGGCTGGCAAATGTTGTAGGCGGCACGGTAGCCCTGGGCACACTGGACGGCCACCCCATAAAGGAGAGAGGCAAGGCTACTGGGGAGGCTTACAGGTCAGAGGGAAGGCTACTCGGGAGGCTTACAGGTGGGAGGGGAGGCTACTGGGGAGGCTTACAGGTGGGAGGGGAGGCTACTGGGGAGGCTTACAGGTGGGAGGGGAAGCTACTGGGGCTGGCAACTGCTGTAGACATCACGGTAGCCCTTGTCACACTGGCAGGCCACCTCTTTGCTGTCGTTCTTTGAGATGAGATGTCTCATAATTGACTTACAGGGGGAGTTCTTAAGCTTTGAGCTGGCAACCAGCGTAGACGACTTGGTAGCCCTTGTCGCACTCGCAGGCCACCCCAAAAAATCCATCATTCGCCCTGACGCACTTGGAGTGTGCCGGGCACGTGACCCAGCTGCAGGTGTTGTCTGGATGATAGAGCATGGAGGGAGAGGCATGGGGGGAGAGGGATGGGGCGAGAGGCATGGGGGGAGAGGCACAGGGGTGGAGGCGTGGGGGAAGAGGCACAGGGGGAGAGGCACAGGGGTGGAGGCGTGGGGGAAGAGGCACAGGGGGAGAGGCACAGGGGTGGAGGCGTGGGGGAAGAGGCACAGGGGTGGAGGCGAGGGGGGAGAGGCATGGGAGGATAGGCACAGGGGTGGAGGCGGGGGGGAAGAAGCAGAGGGGAGAGAGGCATGGGGAGAGGCAGAGGGGAGAGAGGCAGAAAGCATGTGCATGGCAGCAGAAAGCATGTGCATGGCAGCAGAAAGCATGTGCATGGCAGCAGAAAGCATGTGCATGGCAGCAGAAAGCATGTGCATGGCAGCAGAAAGCATGTGCATGGCAGCAGAAAGCATGTGCATGGCAGCAGAAAGCATGTGCATGGCAGCAGAAAGCATGTGCATGGCAGCAGAAAGCATGTGCATGGCAGCAGAAAGCATGTGCATGGCAGCAGAAAGCATGTGCATGGCAGCAGAAAGCATGTGCATGGCAGCAGAAAGCATGTGCATGGCAGCAGAAAGCATGTGCATGGCAGCAGAAAGCATGTGCATGGCAGCAGAAAGCATGTGCATGGCAGCAGAAAGCATGTGCATGGCAGCAGAAAGCATGTGCATGGCAGCAGAAAGCATGTGCATGGCAGCAGAAAGCATGTGCATGGCAGCAGAAAGCATGTGCATGGCAGCAGAAAGCATGTGCATGGCAGCAGAAAGCATGTGCATGGCAGCAGAAAGCATGTGCATGGCAGCAGAAAGCATGTGCATGGCAGCAGTAGGGCACGGATGGCAGCAGAAAGGATGTGCATGGCAGCAGTAGGGCACGGATGGCAGCAGCGACTGCTGCTCTTTCATAATTATGTCTGCGGTAGCAACAGGGCATGCATGGCAGCAACATGGCATGCATGGCAAGCATGGCAGCATCGGTGCATGCAAGGCAGCAGCAGGGCATGCAGGGCAAGATGACAAGCGCAGTAGAAAGGCCAACGCATGGCAGTATCAGTGCATGCATGGCAGCATCAGGGCATGCATGGCAGCATCAGGGCATGCATGGCAGCATCAGGGCATGCATGGCAGCATCAGGGCATGCATGGCAATAGATGGAAACAGCAGCAGAAACGCCAATGCATGGCAGCAGCATGGCACACACAGATAACGCAGCGGAAATACCATATATATGCGGGCATCTTGATTTGATGGAACAGATGGCAATAGCAGCAGACGCATGGTACAGATGGCAATAGCAGCAGACGCATGGTACAGATGGCAATAGCAGCAGACGCATGGTACAGATGGCAATAGCAGCAGACGCATGGTTGCAGCTTGGCACGTACAGACAACGCAACGGAAGGACTTCACAAGCAACCCCTGCATCTTGACAGTTCTGCTCACAAGAGGATGGGGGGCGGAGGGAGGAGTGGGGCGGGGGGGGGGGAGAGGAAGATGGGAGGAGGGCTTAGGGCGAGGGCAGGGTTGCATGAGGGAGGGCGTGGGGATGGGAGCATGTGGAGAACAGACAGTAGCGAACTGATGAATGCTCACCAGATCTCATGCACCCCTGCGACAGCTCACCTCGTGTAACGAAAAGTAACAAACAGTAACGAACGGTAACAAACGGGCGAAATCATGCTCACTGATAAAGTGCGTAGGGTGGGGCAGTGACGTTCCAAACCGGTTTGCCCCCGCAGCCTTTGGAAGCGAACAACTGCAGCACGCTGCACACAGCGCGATCCTCAAACATTCTCCACAGCACGAGCGCGTCCACTTTCGGCCCCCAGACGTCGGTCGTGCCGCATTGGTCAAAGCGAAAGGAGACAACGCCGGGCTTCGCTGGAGAGCCGACGATCACCATTGTCTCCACGGAAAGTTGCGCTTTCACCAACTCGCGCGCGGCGCTCACCACCTCGCTCGCGCTCGCCACCGCCGTGCCAGCGGGGGCAGGAGAGCGCGGCTCGCTCACCACCGGCTTGCCGGCGGAGGCAGGTGCTCCCAGCGACGCTCCGATTCCGTTACTCGCTGCTAGGACGTGACATGATGGGGATGGGAGAATAGTTGAGTCGGACTCAAGAGCCGACGAGCACGGCTGGCCCCACGCGGAGGTCCGCGCTCACCACCTCGCTCGCGGCGCTCACCACCTTGCCGGCAGGGGGAATTGCGATCGGAAATCATGCGACCCAGCCTGACGGAAGAATCTTGAAGATTCGTGAGCTTTTCACGGGCATGGAGAGGGAGCGAGGCAGGAGGCATGGAGCGGAGGCGTACCGATGAGAAGCGCGACAAGGAGCAGCGCGGCGGCTGCGGCCGCCCCGGGAACGTCCGTCTTCATCATCGCGTCGCGGGTGCTCGCGGCGAGCGAAGGTACTACTAGTAGTAGTAGCGCCGAGGAGGCGTGGCGTCGTGACGGTGCTAGAAGCGTGATATCACGACACGAGGTGAAACTACTCCGCGACGAGGTGAGCTTGTCTCAAAATTCGATAGCTTGTCTCAAAATTCGATGACTCTCGGTAAGTCTACTACTATGAACATATACTTGAAGCGCGGCGCGCGCATCTCGACACGGCCCATATTGGATACGCGCGGGGGAGACGTTTGGCTACGATGACTGGTGGCGGGTGCAGCTCTCGGGAGGCCCGCCCGCCACCAGCGCCGCGCCACACGGTGACTCGGAGGCACAGGTGCCCGCCGCGGCAATAATTCTGTTCTCGAAGCGAGCTGGGATTACAGGCGATGCCATCGCAGCAATCTGCCTAGGCAGATCCCATTCGGATAGAACCGTCCATGACAACCACGAGAGCGTCTCGTTTCCTTTGCGAGCGCAGGAACGCCACGTGGCGTTTCAAATGTGGATGTAGCGCGCGCCATCGGATGCTTCTCTGCCACGATGATTACAGCTTCGTTCACTGCCGCCTTTTCCGGTGCTTCTCGCCATGAGAATTATTGCTGCCGCCTTTTTCGGTGCTTCTCGTCATGAGAATTATTGCAACTGCCGCCTTTATCGGTGCTTCTCGTCATGAGGATTATTACAACTGCCGCCTTTTTCGGTGTCGCGTTACTAGGGCAGGTCCAACCAACCTCGTTCACAGCCGTGAGGGAAGGTAAGAAATGGGGGGAACGGACGTGACGAAAACGAAGGGGAGGAAGGGAGACAAACACATGCTGCTGTAGCTATCTCAAACTATGCCAGCGTGGCTTTTCAGGTGTACCCAAACCAGCAGAACGAAGTTTCACGATATGGTTACAAGGCTGTACTGTCTTTATTGCTTCCACAAACTCTATAATTTGGGGGCTTGCCACCGGAATACTGTAGCAGCTGACAATTTTGAAAGCTTTCCTTGTCGTTGCACCGTCTTCGCTGAACCTACTAGCAGAAGAAAAACTTTACTCTCTGAGGGCGTGTCCCACGAGTTTGTTTACAGTTCATGTTCAGCATTGTAACCCTATTTTCTTTTTGTAACCCTCCAAAATTGACCACTGTAGACATGCGTCGTCAATGACGCGCGACACTGTCGTGCTGTAAACGTCAAAAGGTTCGTAATGTACACGTTCGAAAACAGCTTCCAGTTACGAACCATCACCTCGAACAGGTCCGCGTAATTCGCCCAACCCTCACTCACGCGAAAAAAAACGAGCGTCGCAAGCGAGTCGACAGTCTGGTTTGTATGTTTCTGGTTGTGCGAGCTCCGTCATTTTTGGCACAGTAGATTCGCAACTGGCACGGGTTACAGCTCGCGACCCGTGTCAAATTTGATTCGGAATACGAGTTTTGTGAGGGCGGGGCTGGGGTCCGCGTGGTCCAAATTCGTTTGGCGCAGTGGTGACGCGCTGCGTGTTATTTTCGTCAGAGTGTACACTCTTTTGCTGACTCGAAGTTACGTTAAAAAAAAAAGCTTTTCTCCCAAAACGAACTCGTGGGACACGCCCTGAATTGCCATGCCATCCGAGGGACGCATCTGTTGATTAACCAAGGATTCGAAGTCGATAGGATAAGACTAGACAAGTGGATTAAGACAATGAAGTCTTGGAATTACCTTGCATATAATAAGTTGAAAAAAAACAAGATGAAAAAAAAAATTACAAGGGGTTTAGCATTCCTAGCTAGCCATGTACTCTGATGGATACATTCCATTATTAGATGTTTTGCAGACATTGCTACAGTTACCGCGACTATTGTTATCCTCGACGGTTACCATGTCGCACCGTGTAACCTCCGATTACAGTTACTGAGTGGTCAACAGTCGCGGCCATTGACTTCCTTGCGACTGTTGACCTTCGCGTGGCTGTTGACCTTTGCGTGCTCTATACAAGCTAACGCGGTACTGGTACCGTATTATTCCGGCTAAAGTTGACCCGGGGGACTTTCTACAAATGCAAAGAAAATAGCTAGGGTGAACATATAGTTGGCATACAACTTTTTAAGACCCGGGTGTGCTTATTTGTCTAACAATATTATTGGATTTACCATGTACTGTTCGCTTACAAGGGGGGAGGGGGGGGTCTTATATTCGTAACGAAAAACACCCCTCGTGTGCAAATTTCACGCGAGCGCCGCGTCAGATCTGTATTGAAAGGTAAGTGACAGGAATGAGTAGGTTAGGTCAAGGCAGGGGTACAAGACAAGTGTCGAGAGAAAATGTTGTACCCCTAAGGCACAACTCACCACAGGCTAAACTAACACATGCAATATAACTTTGACACACACCCATAGCCTGAGTGAGATGCATCAAACCGACCGCAACAAGCATGTGGTCACAAGACCAGTCTAGAGAAGAAAGCTAAACAAAGCTCAGGGTGGATCTCAAGATCACCACACATTCTGAGCACAAGCAAGCGGCCACAAGGCCAGTTCACAAGGCCAGTTCACGAGGCTGAGAGGGTACGCGAGGTCGGGTCGTGTGCACGTCATCACGTACATGAGGCAACCCACAAGCTCTGGGTACGGACCACTCGGCTCTACGGACTCGTCCGAAGGTGGAGCTGAGAGCGAGTGGCCGGTAGACAGAGGAGTGGGCTGTGGAGAGGACCACGTGAAGTCAAAGCGCTGAAGGACCAGCTGCACCATGTGTGACTGAGTGAGTGTGATGGTGCGGCGTGCTCTGTCCCGGGTGATCTGCAAGCCAAGATAGCTCCGCAGCTCACCCAAGTCAGTGCAGGTGTGTCTCTCCTGCAGCTCCGCCTTCACTAAGGCCAGAGCCTCCGTGTCAGCAGTAGCAAAAACCAAATCGTCAACGTACACGAGAACGTAGAACGGCGGCAGAGAAGTGTCGGTGCGCAGAAACAGCGAAGGGTCAGCAGTCGAGGGAGCGAAGCCAAGAGCCGCAAGTGTAGTCCTCAGTGTGTCGTGCCACTCGCGGGGCGCCTGTCGTAGGCCATAGACTGGTCGCCGAAGACTCCACTGGGTACCCTCATGAAGCGACCCAGTGACGCCACGTGGACGGCGCAACCAGATAGCCTCGTGAAGGCTGCCCTGCAAGAAAGCTGTCGAGAAGTCGAGGGAGTGCAGCTCGTAGTCGCGCTATGCTGCAACGTGCAGTAGCACCCGAAGAGTGGTCATCTTCGGGGTGGGGGAGAAGGTCTGAAAGAAGTCAACCCCCTCACGCTTACTGAAGCCTCATGCAACGTAACGCGCCTTGAAGGCAGGCGGAGAACCCGACAGCCGCTTCACCCTGAAAATCCACATGCCATCGACTATGTTCGCCCCAGGTGGGGGAACCTCGTCGACGTAGGTGCCTGTGGACTTCCAGGAAGCCATCTCTGCGTCCATGGCTATCTGCCATTGAGAGGAGTACGGACCCGTGATCGCCTCTGCGTAAGTGCGCGGGGTCGGGATGTCCAGTGCATCCGGTTCTCCCTCAGGGCAAAGTAGCGTGGACGCGAGATGAGGTGCAGCTGCCGCTAGGCACTCCAGCTCAAACTGCCTGTCCTCAAGAACGTCACAGCCAAGGGCAAGCTCACCCCCGACGGACGGAGGACAGGAAGAGTAAAAAACAAGACTCGCAGCGTAGTCAAGGCGGCACAAAGCAGCAAAGTCAACAAGCTCAGCAACTAAGGCAGACGCAGCAGCAGACTCAAAGGAAGGGTCAGTCACAACCGTGGCAAGGAGACGAGTGAAAGTCGGACTGGCAGTACGGACAAGGTCTGACTCAGGGTCAAGAACGTGAGGAAGAGAAGACGCAGGAGGAGACGGCAGGACAACACGCTGTGGAACAGAGGAAGGACGAAGTGCCATGATGTGTGTGCCAGGGACAGGTGGAGGACGAGGACGCACAGCACGGCAAGAACGGACAGGCGTGAAAGGACGCCACGCAGGCTCTCTACGCTCAGTGAAGGACTCTGTCACCGCAGTGTGAGGAGCAGGAGCAGGCAGTGGGGAGCCAGGCGGTAGCTGTGGCTGAGACTGGACAGTCGGTGGGAACAGTAACGGAGGAGTAGTACCAGCAACCGGGAACTCAGTGGCAGCAGGCGGGAGACTGAGAAGGTGATGAAGCGCAGATGGCTGCGGCTGAGTAGTCGCACCCCCAGAACCTCCAGCTCCAGTAGCAACAGCACCCCCAGAACCAGTACCTCCAGCTCCACCACCGGGACTGCCCCAACCGACAGCCCACTCGCGAAGCTGCAGCGGCGAGAGCGACTCCTGCCGACTAGCACCACTAACTCCAGTACCTCCAGTGGTACCTCCAGTGTCAGCACCGCCAGTACCCCCAGCAGCACCTGTGCCTCCAGTACCAGTACCTCCAGCACGGCCAACTCCGGGAACACCAGCACTAGCACCTCCAGGGCCAGCACCTCCAGTACCTCCAGCAGCACCTGCGCCTCCAGTACCTCCAGCCGCACCTGTGCCTCCAGTACCAGTACCTCCAGCACAGCCAATTCCAAGAACACCAGCACTAGCACCTCCAGGGCCAGCACCTCCAGGACCTGCAGCTCCAGCACGTCCAGCGCCACCACCAGGACTGCCCCAACGGACAGCCCACTCGCGAAGCAGCTCCGGCGAGAGAGTCTCCTGCCGACGTGCACCAGTGCCACCAGCATTAGCACCCCCCGTACCACCAGTAGCAGAACCTCCAGCTCCAACAGTCCCAGCATCTCCCGCTCGAAGACGGCTAGCTCCACCACCAGGGCTGCCCCACTGGACAGCCCACTCGCGAAGCCGCTCAGGCGTGAGAGCCTCCTGCCGACTTGTACCAGGACTACCAGCACCAGCACCTCCAATACCTCCTGTACCCAGAGGACACGCAACACCCCCAGAACCAGCACCCCCAGTGGTACCACCTCCTGCAGCACCAGAGTCCACTGCGACAGGCTGCAACAGCAATGAAGACAGTCGAGGCG